CATGCATTCTTTTGCATGTTTCTCGAAGATAATTACTTTTAAAAAGAATTCATCTTATATAATATTGGAGAAAAAGACGTGCCCTCGTCTCCTCTTTCGATTGGTGAAAACCGCAAGTTTCTAGCTGCTTGCATTCTCGAGTTATTCAAAACACAGTGGAGCACATTCTATTTTGAAATGGATAATAGAAATTGTGTAAGCATTACGGGAACGGAACAACAAGCTTTTTTAGGAAAATGGTGATACATGACCGGCAATAAATATTTTCTTTACGGGAATGGGGATGCAGAACGGGACAAAACATTTTTACGGGAATGGGAATCCGAGAATCCGAACAAAAAACACTTGTTTACTCATGAATCCACCAGTGTCCATAGAAAAATCGAGAAAACTAGTTTAGTTTAATTTTCATCTTGTTCTTTTCGTTATCCAGATAGTTGGCGGGAATTTTATAAAAGCAATATAAGAAGAAAACACAGTTTCGGTTCTTCCTTCTTATTGCTTATTCAAAGAAATGTTCTTCTCTTTTTGAGATGAATGCAAACCCGTCGGTTTGCTTTCTTTTTCTCTTTATTCATTTACGTAGTGGAGAATGTTCACTAATTTTATAGATACATCGCATATGCCATTTTAATTTCCTTTTACTGTGCGCACACTTTCTCCGCTTCTCATCACACAAACGGAATAAGGCAAGCTAGTTTACTTTTTCTCTTTCATTTATTCTGCGAGTCGACAGAGATTTTATTGGAGGAATACGAGGATAACACACACTTTCCTTTCTTTCCTCTAATTGCTTATTCGAAGAAATATTCTTCACTTTCTGAAACAAATACAAACCCGTCAGTTTGCTTTGTTTTTCACTTTGTTCATTTAATTAGCGACGAGTGTTCGCTGATTTTATCGAAATATCGGATATGCGATTTTAGTTTGCTGTGCTCGGTTAATTATGTCGATACTTTTTCCGCTTCTTACGACAGAAACTCAAAGAAGCAGGTTAGTTTACTGTTTCTCTTTCTCTTACTCTTATAGTTGACGGAGATTTTATGGAAAGAATACAGGTAGAAAACACACTTTCCTTTCTTTCCTTTATTTGATTATTCGAAGTAATGTTGTTCACCCTCTGAGAGAAACTCCAGCCCGTAGCTTTGCTTTATTTTTCTCTTTCTACCTTTGCATAGCTGGCGAATAATGGAAAAATGTATGAAAACCTACAATATGTCATTTTAGTTTTATTTTCTTCTTTTAATTGTACGCACACTTCTCCCGCTTGTCACCAGACAAACGGAATAAAGTAGGCTAGTTTACTTCTTTTCTTTCCCTTATTGGGATAGGTATCGAAGCTTCTATCCAAGTAATAGAATAAAAATGCAGTAAGAAAAAAAGCGAGGCTCGGTCTAGTACGAAAAAATGTTGAGTAGACGTCAAGTACATGAGATTATATGTAGGATACTAACCTGTACACAATATATTTGTGGTTGTGGGTGTCGGTATGGGTGTGGGTATCGGTGTGGGTGTGGGTGTCGGTGTCGGTGTGGGTGTGAGTGTAGGTGCGAGTGTAGGTGTGGGTATGGGTGTGGGTGTGGGTGTGAATACAGATAAGATTCACACTCACACCCACACCCACACCTACACTCCACACCCACATCTTCACCTACACTCACACCAACACCCACACACACACACCACACCCCACACCCATACCCACACACCACACACCACACACCACACCCGTACCTCACACCCACCCACGCACACACACTCACCTACGCCTACACTCACACTCACACTCACCTTCACCCCCACCCCCCACACCCCACTCCTACACCCACAGAAGGAAGAAACAACCAAGAATATTTATTCATATACAGAAAAAGAGAGAGAAGAATTCTGTTTGTCTTCGTTTTATCATCTCTAGCAAGGTTTTGATTTCTATTTATTTATTTTCATTCGTCGTCAAAACACTATCATCTTCATGGACAAAAAAAAGTCAACTCCAAAGAATCCCCGTGGTTCTTCCTCCTTGTCGTTACCGGGCACTACAAATAAACCAAAGAACATGCCATCCTTATCATCATCCATAAGTGCTACTGCTGCTTCCAGTATTAGCGTAACAACAAAAAATACACAGAGAAATACCGTACTGCCCCGACCCGTCCGTCGGATTCTTCAAAATTTTCTTCTCGTCTGGCTCGATGCCAATCTTGATGAATCAAAAGAAGATTTTAAAAATTCGTTACAACATCTCCGGCGCATTGTGGCATCCATCACCACGTTCACGGATGCCCAAGAATGTATGGATTTCCTCAGTGAAATCAGAAAAGAAAAAGTATTTATGATTGTGTCGGGCTCCCTGGGACAAAAAGTAGTACCAGAAATTTATTCATGGACACAAATATATTCAATTTATGTATTCTGTGGTAGTCAATCATTTCATGAACAGTGGACCAAAAAATTCTTGAAGGTGAAAGGAGTGCATACAAAAATCGAGCCGATTCGTGAAGCATTACAAATTGACTGTGAAAATTGTGATCGAGCGATGATCTCGATGAGTTTTAATGGGATTGATGCCATATTCATGTATACACAACTACTAAAGGAAGCAATATTGGATATTGAAGATAATGATAAAAAGTCTATAAAAGAACTTGGTGACTACTGTCGCCTTGAAAAAGATATTGATGAAGGCGAAATTAAGAAGGTTGAGCGTGAATATCGTGATCATACTCCAATATGGTGGTATACAGCACCATTTTTTATGTACTCAATGTTAAATCGTGGCCTTCGACTGATGGATGTCGACATAATACTCAAGATGCACTTTTTTATTCGACACTTACACCAGCATATTGAAAAATTACATGGCGAACAGCAATCTCGCAAGCCAACCAGTGAGCCATTCACAGTCTTTCGTGGACAAGGTTTGCCTATGGAAGACTTTGAAAAAATGAAACAAACCAAAGGAGGACTTATGTCCTTCAACAACTTCCTTTCAACCAGTCGCAAGCGCCAGGTGTCCCTCGATCGATTTGCACGACCAGTCATCACCAATCCCAATTTAGTCGGCATTCTCTTCGTAATGATAATCGAACCAAAATTATGTGCAACATCATCGATTCCTTTTGTGACCATAGGAGACGAAGGCTTCTTCAAAGACGAAGAAGCAGAAATTCTATTTTCAACACATACAATCTTTCGTATTGAACGCATCGAACGAATACAAGACGATCATACTGACAAGCTGTATGAAGTTACCCTCACACTTACAGAAAGCAGTGATAATGAATTTAATAAACTTACAAAACACATACGTGAAGAAGTCACGTCGGCTGTAACACGAGAATGGTCTCAACTTGGCGAAATACTGATCAAATTGGGTGAGCCTGCAAAAGCCGAACATCTCTATAAGATCCTTCTCGAAAAGGAATCTTCCTCTAAAGATCAAGCAGAATACAATCATCAACTTGGACGAACATATTATTTTCTGGGCAAGTACACTGAAGCACTTTTATTTCTCAACAAAGGACTTGAAATGCGAAAGACAATTCTACCTCCAGATGGTCCTGACTTAGCGAAATCCTATAACAGTATCGGTACGGTACATGCTGACATGGGCGAGTACTCAAAAGCACTTTCATCGTACGAACGATCACTTGAAATCAAGAAAATATCTCTCCCTCCAAATCATCCCGACTTGGCTATGTCCTACAACAACATCGGTACGGTATATGCTGACATGGGCGAGTACTCGAAAGCACTTTCATCGCACGAACGATCACTTGAAATCAAGAAAATAGTTCTCCCTTCGAATCATCCCGACTTGGCTGCTTCCTACAACAACATCGGTGCCGTGTATAAAAACATGGGCGAGTATTCGAGAGCACTTTCATCGTACGAACGATCACTTGAAATCAAGAAAATATCTCTCCCTCCAAATCATCCCGACTTGGCTATGTCCTACAACAACATCGGTAATGTGTATGATGACATGGGCGAGTATTCGAAAGCACTTTCATCGTACGAACGATCACTTGAAATCAAGAAAAT